ATATATATATATATGTATGTTATATACATATTAGACGACGTGTTTTGGCAAGTCAGGGTGAGTTCCTTAATGCGAAGCAAGGAAACCGAGAGGGAAGAGCTGGTGAGCATCTTCAGGCACATGACGGACAAGGAGTGCTCCTTCTTGCGGGAGCATGGTATACTGCCCGACACCCAACCCTATCAGACGATTGTAGAAGGTGACGAGGGCTTCCAATACTGCAAGAAGCACCTGGGCCGTTTCAAAAATGTTTTCCGGCTTCCTTAATGTGAGTTTTTCCATGTTCTTCCTATAAGTCCCCATTAAAATCCCAAACCCTAGAGCCGGTAAAGGTACTTCTGCGGCAAAAAGAAGGTAACTCCTCCAGTGTCGACGATCGTGGAGTTCCTCTGCCCGCGTGCGTTGGTGGACCAGCTCTTCGCCATGTCCCTCTGACCTTCTTTGTTAGGGTTTAGGGTTTAGGTTTAGGGTTCAGGGTTTAGGGTTTAGGGTTTAGGGAGGGCTCTATAAGGGTTCTTAAGGCTTAGTCGTAGAGTACGTAACCTTTAACCTTCTTGGGGTGGCATAAGGGGTTCTATAAGGGTTCTGAGTCGTAGAGTACGTAACCGTTAACCAAGAATGGGGTAGTATAAGGGGTTCTATAAGGGTTGTAATCGGGTTTTGGAACGGTTCCTAGCAGTAGAGTAGGTCACCTTTAACCTTTTAGGGGTACTACAAAACCCTATATGTCCCAAAACCCTAAACCCTAAACCTTAAACCATCCTAACACATATATATATATATGTAAATATAGGCCCAAAGATAAAACCTCTAATTCCCTAGCGTGCTGGACAACCAAAGGTTTTGCTTCAGGGATGTATAACTCGAGAGTTCGCCAGCTTTAAGGAACTTGGTGACGGTTTAGGGTTTTGGGGCTTAGGCGTTTAGGGATTTAGGGGTTTAGGGTTTAGGGGTTTAGGGTTTAGGGGTTTAGGGAACTGGATGCCTTGAACACTTCAGCTGAAGATGTCTTTCCCCGTGATGGCGACATGTATACTAAAAAAGCTTTTTGAGATTTTGTGCTTGTCACCCAACCCCAAATTTCCCAAAATCCGCCCCCAATCCCGAAAGGCTCGCGCCCCCCAAAGCCCAAAACGCGTTGTGCCGCTAGGCCCAAAAGTTGGGGTCCCAGGTCGCAGGTGCCCCCGCCCTGCCACCGGCCCCCAGTTCCCAGCCCCCAAAAAGTTTCGCTCAAAACGTTCGGTTTTTTCGGTACCCAAACCAGTCACCATTTCCGTTATAAACCCCCTACACCCCGAAACTAAGGCAGTGGAAGATCGAAGATGGAGCTCGATCGCATGGGCTGGGAGACAAGGGCGGCAAGGCGAAACCCTAGACCCTAAACCTCTAAACCCCTAAACCTTAAACTCTAAACCCTAAACCCCTAAACCTTAAACTCTAGACCCCATAAACCCCTAAACTCTACAGCCCTAAACCCCTAAACCCTAAACCCCCAAGCCCCGAAACCCTAAACCCTAAACCGACAGGGCCTGCCGATCTTCAACGAAGCCTTGGAATCAGGAGACGTCGGGCTCCTTTCTATAAGGCTTTAATATTGGGGCCTCATAGTCTTATTAGTGCTTAGATTAAG